TTTGGTTTTAAATCAAAACGCCGAGTACGACATGTTTTTCACCTTTGACAACAGATAGAACAAAGAGATAACTCTCTGCTGTATTCTGCCCTTTAAATCGCTGATTCAAATTATTCAATTATGCTTCCTTCAACTAAAGTGACTCGAACCGCAGCATGCAGCACGTACGATTAATGAGGCAATACTATTGCTCAAGTTCTTTTGAATACAAACTGTTTTCAAGCAAAATGAGCGGTCCTTGTAGAACATGTTAAATCATTGTCTGTCCGCTTGAATTTGCAAGTTACCAAAGCAATGAAATATCTCATCCTATTAGGAAATCCTTTATTTTTAGCTCTTACAGGTCAATAACTACCACCAGGTGACCAAATTTGACTATATTATTGTTATTTGATTTAAGTCAGGACCAACCTTTTTTGCTCGAACATGGGAAAAACTGTCTCATTAATTTTTTCTTCATTCGATAAAATTGGGGGAAAAAAACAACTGTGTTTGTAACTGAATCTGTCGCCCAAGTAATTTTTCTCTGTTTATTTTCCGTTTTTCAATCCTTAAAGAAATAATATTCAAAAACGCACAACTTTGTTAAATAGATTCTTACATTTACGACCACAGAGATCTTCGTAACGCCTTTCAAGATTGCGTACCAAATTCCTGTGAAAACAAAAGGTTTTTTTTATTCGGTAGTTCCTAAATAGAATTTCAATTAATAAAAAATGTTTAAGACCAAGAATAATAATCGGCCCTCTCTTCATATAACGCATACCTATATCCTGCGCACGAGCTGCCATTGGGCGCTGAAAAACCACGATAAACTTGTAAGCATCAAGACGAATTTCCAACAAGTTATTGATGAGGGCAAAGAACGGTCCAAGTGGAAAGGCGGCCACAAATAGTGTCACAAAGCCATACTGGATCACTGGATAAAACAAAAACAAAAAAAACAAAAAACAAAAAAAACAAAACAGAGTTTATAACCGGTAAAATCTCAACCATCTCCTTCGCTCAACCGTACAAGCTGCGCAGTTCTTACCCATCTCAAGGTATTCATAAAACAACCCGTGCACGGGATACTGAGTCAAGTCATAGTCCAGTTCCCAACGTGTGTATTCGGTCAAGTCGGGGGTTTCAATATTCTGACGGCGTCTCCACCAGTTCTGAAGCTTTCTGTGGAAAATAATTATAATAATAATATAAACCTCAGTCAAATACCAAGGGAGTTTTCGCGCGAAAACATGATATCTTCATACGTGAAGATAACATGTTTCTCTTTACACGTGGAAACAATACCGATACTATGATTATAATATTACAAGGCCGCTTGGAGCTACGAAATTTCTCTTCACGCGTTGAAAAATATTTCTCTCGTTCGTTTCGCTCACTCGTGAAATGTTTCCCAACACTCGAACAGAATTAATTATCTTCGCGCGGCCATGTAATATCCTCTATTTTCAGGAATAAAAGAGACCATAGTGATAATAATAATAATAATAATAATAATAATAATAATAATAGTGGTGACGATATCAACTACAGCAATAATAATAATAATAATAATAATGAAGATGATGATGATGATGATGATGATGATGGTGGTGGTGGTGGTGATGGTGGTGGTGGTGGTGGTGGTGGTGATGGTGGTGGTGGTGGTGGTGGTGGTGGTGGTGATGGTGGTGGTGGTGGTGGTGATGGTGGTGATGATGATGATGATGATGATGAAAAAATAGGAGTGCTTACCCAAATGATCATCCCACTCATTTGAAATTTGAGTCAAAATATTATTTATCCAAAACGTTCGCAGAATGAGTGACTTGGCCTGTGAAATACTGTTTTACAGAACTAAACAATTAAAAGTATTATTTCACTGTAAAATGTGTTTGGAGCATGTTCCCACAATAATAATATACATGGAAAAATTTCTCAGTTCTGATTGGTCAAGATAAATGCAGTTTTCAGGTAATTCAGTGCAGAAGAGAGTTAATTCAGTGCAGAAGAGGGTTAATTCAGTGCAAAGAAAGTAACAAATCAAACATTCTGATTGGTCAATAATCAAAGAAACTCATAGATAGCCAGTCAAATGAGAGCCTTCGATGTCGCAACAAAATTTGAAAATTTGAAAATTTGAAAATTTGCGAGCGAAACAATGGCCTGCTTTTTAAGTAGGTTTTCTTTCGCCACCGCAGCTGAAAACAGCTCAGACAACCAAAACACTGTAAAAAGCACTGTTTTTGGTTTCGGTCTGGAAAAAGTGGTTTTTAGAGAAGGGAATTGCCAAGGAAATAAAAAATTACAAGCCAACCTTGCTTAACACTTTGCTCGAGCGATCCAACGCCGAAATTAAAAACAAACATGGTTAAACCTCGAAAACGACGATTCCATTTCATCGAAAGTGATTCGGACACAGACTGAACAATTCCTTGAACTGTTTAGCCGGACTTTGAACTTTTTTGCGCCTTAAAGATGTGAAGATATCATCGCATATTATTGTTTTGATCGTACATTGTTGTTTTGACCGGACGCACAGTTTGAATAAATTATTTTTGCTCTTGATGCGCGCACTTTGCTTCTGCTTAGTTATGATAAGCCATCTCGTATTTTTTCATGTCTATTATCAACACGTAATCCCATGATTTTTCTCGTGCAATTTGGAATAAATAAGCACTTGTTAAGTTTTTCAAAGACCACAAATTGCACTCGCCCTACGGGCTCGTGCAATTTTGTTAGTCTTTGAAAAAATTTTATTCGTGCTTATTTATTCCAAATTGCACTCGAAATCATGTGATTACCTATACAAATACATTCCCTGATTTTTTTTTTTCAGCGATTCCGGTTTTCTGATTACTATACCTGTGTTTCACTTACGCTATAAATGTGCTTCTCCAATAAGCTATTACACCTATATGTATGTCGTATTGCAAAACTGTCCAAGTATATCGAGCACAATGTAAATACTCCTAGTTAACAGTAAACTGTTATTACATTAGAATACGTAAATGTCCATAAATGTGTTATTTTCTAAAACCTGCCTTAA